AGCAACAAGCACCAAAATGGAGGAATGGCTGCAAGCAGCCTCTTCCTCTCCCTTACATATGCAAACTATCCACCCCAGGGCAGGTGTAGCTCTCATACCCATAATTAATCAAACTCCAAAAGCCTGCCCCATGACCGCATGAGGTTTTGGGGGGACACACAGACACAAACCCTAACAAACATTTATACACAGAAAATATAGTCCCTAGGCATTGCCCAAAGACTATCCAAGTTGATATTATTACATTCCCACTATAACCTCATCTTCATTTATTAATCACCAGTACACTATTTCCTTCTTTCTCAAATAGAAATACTGTATATACCGAATATTTATTGAGCACTTTGATAACACTGAACACTTAAATTCATTGTTTTTTTGGGAATTTCTGTCATCTTTCTAAATGCAAATATCTTTCTACCATGTAATACAAATGAATATAAGTGATGTTGGGTAATATACAACATGTGTCTGTAATTCAAAAATAGAAATCTTCTAAGTAGTAATGAAAAATGCAGAGGTATTCATTCTGTTTCTGATGGATAGTGTTCTTCTACAGCTGTCTATGAGCAGTCCTGCGAAGCCCACAAGTACAGTGGGAGCCCTTCTGGACCTTACTACATTGATGCAGATGGAAGTGGGCCCCTGGGACCATGTCTTGTGTACTGCAATACGACAGGTATGCTAATGTCCATTAGACTTGCATATCAGCTCTTTATATATATGATCACAGTAGACTCAGAAGGTATTTACCTAGTTGGTAGCATGCAATCTGATAGTTGTATAACAGTAAGTAGAAGTTGTACATGTGTTTTTGTTAATTTTGTTGTTAATAAAATATCCTTGTATGTCTTGCTCACCTAAGCTGTATTATATGCAAGATTTTGTTTTCTGCCAGATCAGCCCTGTGGCTCCTACACTTCTCATAATTACATCTGTTTACATGCATTATGATAGTGTTTCAATTCTTTGAAAGTACTAAGAAATAACATATATGAAAGTATTTTATGTACCTCTTAGATAATTTAATGATTTGAATGGCACGTGATTTTTCATAAAGAAATGTGATTATTTTGTATTATAAGCCATTCTGGTTTAGATATTATTATAAGGGAATAGAGTTTGGTTACAGAAGATTGCATGAAAATTCCTCTTAGACAGTTAAATTTTTCCAGAAATTTGCTGTCATCTGTCTCTTCCAACTCTCTGGAAAGTGGAAATCAAGAATAAATAGTTCTCCTTTAGTGTGCAGAGAAAAATTTGAATGTGTCCTAAGTGTCAGTGCCCAAAGGGGTCATCAACAGAAACAAAAAATAAATGAAAGTACATAGAAATTCAAAATGCTTTAACATAGAATGCCAAAGAATCTTAAAGGGGAAGTTCAGAAAATTCAGAACTACCTGCTTAGCAATGTGCACAAGATAATGAAACACTTGCCAGATGATGATAATTATTTCCAAAACTCCCTGACTCAAACGGAGTGAATTGTGGATGGCCCAAATTGGTTAGCATCAGCCATAGTCTTCAAATGGATTTTTTCCATAAAGTAGTGCTGGCAAAAATCAAAGGACCCAACTACAATCACAGCCAGGAAGGCTCTTGGTCATCATCATTATAAGATGAGGACACCAAGACTTTATGAAATTGATTAAGGAAGTATCTAATGACAAAAGTTTAGTTACTGACAGAGGAATCACTAAACTCTCATTTCTCCCTCCCTAGAAAAAGTTAGCTTCTCTACAGAGACTGGACTGCTCATAACCAATAAAATATTATCTAGTTTTACAAATCAAACAATGGCCATTAGAAAAAGCAGAATAGTCAAAATACTATTCCAGTAGCTTGAAGATATGTATCTGGTAACAAAAACCAGTGGCTTCACTCTAGCCTGCTAAGGAGCTTGGAAGTCGTCTTTCTATCTTGCCAAGTAAAAAAAAAAATCAAACAAAATGAAAAGTCAGCAACTCTTCCTAGGTCCAACAGAGAGGTACAGACACAGCAAACAACTGCCCCCAAAATTAGAGAGAAAGGTAGATGCGGAGATTCACCACAGTGCCGAGTAGATATCCCTAAGCAGAAAGCTCTATGGGAAACAGACTTAGGGTAGGAAAAGCTCAGCTGTAACTCACAAATAGCTGGAGTCTCGGGGGGGAACAAATCTGAGGGCTCAAAGCTCCAGGGGACCCAGTTACGGCAGAGCTGCCATTCTCTTGTGAACCTTACCTGTCAGGAACTTGACTAGGTTCTCAGAGTGAATATGAGAGAAGGGGAAGATGGAGAGGAACCATTCTGAAAAACATAGGACATTGTTCTTAATAACGTGTCCCCTGAGAAAGTGTATTTTACCAGAGCCTAAATTATCAGAATTTTTTCAGGGCTAACCAACTTGGGAAAAGGACAATATTTAACTGCAGTCCCCTCCAGCCATCCTGTCCCCCCTGAGGGTGGTGGGGAGGGGGCTAAGAAGCACTGCCTGCAGAGTCCAGCAGCACAGGCGCATCGCAGGACTGTAGCAGGCTGCCCTTCCCCCTGCTTCTCCACCTTCAGTGGTTACTTCAATCAGCCAGTCGGGTTCAGCTCTCAAGAAAACAAACTGCAAGGCATAGTAAAAGCAAAAGACACAGCTTGAAGAGACAGAGCAAGCATTAGAAGCAGACTTCGATGTGGTAAGAATGTTGGAATTAGCAGGCTGTAAATTTCAAACCACTATGATTAATCTGCTCAGGGCTCTAACAGATAAAGTAGACAGCATGCTACAATAGCAGATCAGTGTGAGAAGAGAAATAGAAATTCTAGAAAAGAAGCAAAAAGGAATGCTAAAGATCAAAAACACTATAACAAAAGTGAAAAATGTCTTTGATGAACTCATGAGAGAGTATCTTTAAGAGGGAGGTAACTTAGGGGAAATGTTCAATACTGAAAAGCAGAAAGAAAAAGTGACTGGACAGAGAGCCATAACAGAATACCTGAGAAGTGTGTACAGCTACAAGAGGTGTGGCTTATGTGTAAAGGGAATATCAGAAGAAGAAATAGAGAAAGGAAGAGAAGCAACCACGGAATGGGATTTTCCATGAATTAAAGCCAGGCACCAAGGCACAGATATGCAAAGTTTGAAGGACACTCAGACAGGGTAAATACTCTCCCTGAATAAACACCCTCCAGTTGGGCATGTCCATTTAAACTATAGAAAATCGGGTTAAGAAAAAAATCTTGAAAGAAATTAAAGGAAGAAAAAACATCTCATCTCAGAGAAGCAAAGTCTTCTATCTGACTCATCAGAAACCGTGCAAAGAAGAATAGAATGGAATGTGAGATTTAAAGCGTTGATATAAAAAAACAGAACAGAAAACCACACCAATTTAGAATTCTATACCTTCTTAGGTGTCATTGAAAATGGAAGAAGAAATAAGGACTTTCTCAGACAAGCCAAGGAGTCAATTCCCAGAAAAGTGATAACAGTTCTTAATGAGGATGTTTCTAACAACAGAAAATCATGGCTCTTGAGGGGTCTTTATTCTCTTTTTTCTTCTCGGGCACATGGAAAAGGTGCACTAGATGAGGCAGATTTCATATAATTTCTTGAGTAGACTTTATTGTTTAAGTACTGCTGATTGCAACCAAATCATGAAGTTAAGCTAGCTTACTTTGCTGAGTTGGTTTCTCCCTGAGCCCCTGGGAGCTGATAGGGATCACCTACAACTCAGCTTCCTTCTGGGCCCCAGAGAAGATAAGACAGGGCTGGACACACTTGCCATCCTTGGCTCTGCCTCTGAAACCCTCCCAGTCAGCGCCCTCAGCGACCCTCTCCTTAGGACCGCTGCAAGGTTCACACTCCAGGAGTCATCACTTAAAACTTTAGATCTATTTCTTTATGAGTGTAATATCCAGGTTACATTAGATGCTACTTAAAGTCCTTCCCAGTTCTAGTATTCTAACTTATAATTTTAAAATAAATCATGAACAATTGAGGGAAAAAACAATCATTTCTGTCAGTTAGGGCTGATAATAACACAGGCAGTAGTGACTTAAATGGCATTTTAAATAAAGGAATGCACATCCTATAATGTTCCCAGATTACTATTTTACTCTTCAGAAATGCAGTTTTAGAGATATTTTCACACCCCTTCCTTTTTCAATACTGAGGACATTTTCTCTTATTACATTTTAACCATGTGTGACTACAATATTAAAATTGACCACCAGCCTATAGATGAACTACTCAAGACTTTCCAGCTGTGACACATGACCAAAAATGGCATGTGATTGATTATCTCCAATGCCCAATTTAGAGTTCTGTCAGGTTTCTCTGTGTGTGATTTAGTTGATAGGACAGAACCCTGAAGGTGAATGGGTAGTAGGTGGCACACAAAAAGTAGAGCCAGGATTTTAAAATTCTAAAATTAGTGGAAGGGGCTGGGGGTTCAGCTCAGTGGTTCAATGCCTGTCTGGCAAGTGTGAGGCAAGTGTGAGGTCCTGAGTTTGATTCCCAGTACCCCCCAAAATAAATAAAATTAAATTAAATTAAAGGAAGCTCTCAGTTAGAATATTATTATGGGAAGACCCCCTCCCCCGAGGTTGAAATTGCTAGAGGAGCCTTGAAAGCCTCATTTCCAAGCGCCAGGATCCCAGTGACCATTTAATTTTAAATTGCTTTAGTTATTTAAATCAACAGGCTCTCTCATGCTGGCTGCCCCTTTATGGGTATTGTGCCTTTGCTCCTGTGGATAGTGGGCCTAGATTTGTTCTAGTTGCACTGTTGGCCTCCTGGTGCTTCCCTGCTTTCTCCTTGTTTGGAGGGCTGCAAGCTGCAGTAAGGCTGCTGCCTTTGTCTCAGGCACATTTGGAACCAACTATTAAAATTCTGAGATGTGAAGGGAGAGAGTAATTTCTCAGTGTAAAACCTACTACATTGCTTTGATTTTTAATTCTTAACAATGTAACTGTAGAAATCCTTCCTAGTAGCTCCAGTGTGGAAAATCCCCATGTAAGATGTCCTTTGTATTAAATATGTCTTGTTGAGAGGTTAAGAGCCGGAGAGCAGCAATGTAGTACAATGAAGATGTCCTTAAGCAATTTCTTCTCTACTGAGTCATTGCTGTCTCTGCAGCAGGGGAATGCTTTATTCTGCGCATTGTGGGGGCCACTGCTGGGAATATTGAGGAACCTCAAGTGGATTTCTTCTAAGACCGTGGAGTTGTTTCTTTTTATTTCATCAGAACAAATCTGTGTGACCAAGTTGACAGAAATACATCAGAAATTACGTGTTCAGGTCAATAGATGGTACGGGTTATACCAGAATAGTTCTCTGAGCAGTTCAAGGTGTGAGTCTTCAGTGCTTGCTCACTGGTAGAAAGCTGATGCAATTTTATTTTAATAAGGTCCCTTCTTGGTTTATTTTTTAATATGTAAGTCACATCATCCCAAAACACATCTTTTACACATTTATATGATAAGAGAAATAGATACACATACAGATCAGGAAACTATTGATTAAAGGAGAAATGTACACTCACACTTTAGCATTGCTCTTATGTTGATATACAAAAAATAGTTTTAAAAAATAGAAAGTCATTGCGTACATTATATATTCCTAGACATGATGTCACAGGCATTTAATCATCAGTTCTCCCAAAATAGTTTCTCCTTGAGGCTGAGTTCTGGCTAATTACATGGTTTTAC